CCATCACAGGACAATTGTATTTTTGTAGTGAATGAACAGTAAGTAAAGAGTTTCATGGAATGCCTGTATTCAAAATTGGGTTAGCATTGAAATTGCTGTTATTTATATTTCAATTTAACAGCTTTCTTATCTGGACATTTGTAGTCAAGTATAATAACAGAATGCCAGCTGTTCATGATGTGTCATACAGAAACCTGACTTAAACATTTTTTCATGAGGAATGTAATCTCAGAAGCTATTTTTATAGTACTTCAAACACAGTAAGCTCAAGAGCCCGGGATGCAAGCATAGAGAAACTATGTAAACTTGGTTAGATTATTAAAGTAATTTGAGCTCAGTTTTCTCGTCCTTAAATCAGAGAGTGATAATTACTATTTCACAAGAGTTTTATAAGCGTCAAATGAAATATGTGTAAGAATGTATTATACTACAGAGCTATTCACAGTTAGTTACTGAAATTGTTATTGCTTTTTAAATTAGAATAATCTTATAATTCATTTTTAATTTTTCAGTTGGATGACCAAGTAGAATATCTGCAATAATGCCTATTAAAAATAAACATGATAGGCTGGGTGCGGTGGCTCATGCCTGTAATCCTAGCACTTTAGGAGGCCAAGGTGGGCAAATCACTTGAGGTCAGGCATTCGAGACCAGCCTGGCCAACATGGTGAAACCCTGACTGTACTTAAAAAATACAAAATTAACCAGACATGGTGGCGCGTGCCTGTAGTCCTAGCTACTGAGGAGTCTGAGGCAGGAAAATCACTTGAACCTGGGAGGCAGATTCTCCAGTGAACCAAGACCATGCCACTGCACTCCAGCCTGAGCAACAGAGTGAGACTCCTGTCTTAAAACATAATAATAAATAAACATGATAATAATGTATTTTTGACTTAGGAAAAGTGTTAGCTGTATTTAAAGTTGTTGTAAGTATCAAGGCCTGATTCTAGAGTAACTAGGATCCACGTACTGTGAAAAAGTAGTACACTCGCATAGTTAACTGTAGGGAAGTGTTATTGTAAAGTGGGTTACATACACAGCAAGTTCTAGCATTTTGACATATATTTTCAGGACTGTTGCAACCATGACATCTGAAGAAAAGAAGGAACGACCTATAAGTATGATAAATGAAGCTTCTAACTATAACGTGACTTCAGATTATGCAGTGCATCCAATGAGCCCTGTAGGCAGAGTAAGTTATTTTGCTTTATATTAATTATTGATAAGGAGTAAACAGTATCTATACCATTACTCATAGTGGACTTAAAATTATAGAATAATCATTACATTTTTATTACTACATGAATTTGGAGGTGATTGATAGAAGAAGCAATTGCAGCCTGAAATATAAAGTAATAAGATTGTAATTCAAAGACTTAAGTTTTTAAGTTTGGAATAGTTTTAGAACTATAATGATATTTGTGAGAGAAAATGGACACTCTAAAGTTTTAAAGGTGATGATTAATGTAATAGCCTAGAAATCAAATTATCTGACTATAAGAATGCTTAGATTGAGAAAACATTTTTCAGCAAAACCATTGTAATAGTAAATTATGTTTATTGTAAGGAAATAGATAATTATAATAATAGTATTTAAATGCCTGTTAAGGTTTTTGAAATAAAATTTTGTTAGGAGATTATAAATGAATGTAAATTTTCAAATAATATAATTTCTGATTATTAAGTAACATATGTCCAACAGGCTAACTGAGCATAATGCTTTATGAGTATATTTCAATTAAAATCTGGTGAAATTGTTGAATGGATTGAGAGCCAGTAGGTCATTGTCTTGCAAGAAAGTTGAATCTGTTCCTCATACTTTACACCAAAAATTTTCTAGATGGATCAGTTGTTGAAATGTTAAAAACAAAACTATAAAAGCACTAGAAAAAAACAATGGAAGATTAAAAAAAAAAAAGATCAGAATGTAGATGGGCTTTCTAAATACGACATAAAACCCAGAAGTAACAATATAAAATAATGAGAAATTCAACCACATGTAATTATTATCCATGCAGAGTATCTGCAATTCGTATAACGATTAAAGAATAATTTCCTTATAATTAAAGAAGTACTGTGAATCAATAAGAAAAGGGCTTACGTGCCAGTTTGGAAATGGGCAAATTATATGAAATCAGTTTTCAGAAAAGAAAATGGAATTTACCCTTAAATATATGAAAAAAGATACTCAGCCTCATCCATAATATGAAAAATACTAATTAAAACCAGAAAAAGACACCATTTTCACTTACAGATTTCCAAAGGTCAGAAAGTTTCATAACACAGCACATTGACAACAGTATGGGTAAATAAGCATTCTGTTTATATAGTGAGCTCCAAGAAATAATGGAACAGAAGAGTGGATATTAAAATATGCGGTCATTTCAGAAAAATATTCATTAATCATGAGAACAGTTATTTTAGATAGATAGACACACACATAACAGTGATATTGGTTGCCCCACAGTTGCGAGTGGGGTTAGCTGGGTGCTGGAGCCCGAGAGTGAGAAGTAGATTGATCTTTGTGTATCTTTTTATGTCATTTGAGTTTTATACTGTTTTTAAGCATTATCTGTTTGAAAGTAAATTAAAGTCTATCTAGAAAACATGCTTTAGGAAAAATTTTGTTGATATCGGGCCTTAAAATTTTCTTATATACTAATAAAAGCTTCTCAAAACAAAATTCTAATGAAGTATGCTAGATTTCCAAAGATTCTAAACAAGTAGAAAAGTAAGAGATAATTTTATGTTACTTTATAGCTTCATTGTTTCATTGTTTTCATTTTTGTTGGTCACCACTATGATTCCTGCCAAAATAAATCTTCATGGTAAGCATACCAGTATTTTTAAAGATTGTATATCTTTATGTATACATTGAAGAATCCAGTAAACCCCATCTATCTGGTTTAAGTTCAGAGTTGTCCATAAAAAAGAAAACACTACATCACATTAAGCAGATCCTTCCCGTCTTGTTTTGACTTGATGTGATATATTTGTTTATATTTAATCTCTGTATATTTCTCCTCGGACTGAGTGCTGTTAACTTTCTTTAATTGAACCTGCACTATTAAATGAAGATATAAAGGGAAAAGTTCTGTTGTTTGGTTTATTCTTAAAGATTTGTTAACAGTTTTTACTCAAGATCTATTCATTTTATATAGCAGATAGGACAAAATACTGCCACATACTCTGTGTTTCTAAAAATTGTACATCCCGTCCGGATTTTAAAGGAAATATTGTAAAACTTTTGATATCCTGGGGAAAAAAATTTGGTGCAGAATTCTTACACTTCAAAAAACTAACCCAGCAAAAGTAGAATTTTAATAATTTTTCTGAAAAGATTTAAGTCCTGCAGTTCTTGGGAAAATCTGAAAAGAGATTAAATTTTAAGAGGAAAATAAGCTCAAATCTCTAGACATTAATACATTTTCTGTCATGCTCTTTTTCTATTTAGACTTCACGAGCTTCAAAAAAAGTTCATAATTTTGGAAAGAGGTCAAATTCAATTAAAAGGAATCCTAATGCACCCGTGGTCAGACGAGGTTGGCTTTATAAACAGGTATTTTTTTTTTATTTGATATGAAACAAAAGACAAAATTAGAAGGAACCTTTTAAACTGAATGTACCAAAGACAATTCTATAAAATCATAAAATTAAGAAGGAACTATGGAGAAGCCACCCAGGTTCTTTGCTTGTTACCCCTGAAGAATATCAAGGGAACAGTGAAGGCAGAAAAAGGAGTGGACATTACTTAGAACAGAGCTTGTGTGTTTGTTATGGGTGTTTCTAGATTTAAAATTAAATATATACTGTATGAAAATGATAAGAAATAGCATGGTAAAAGTATCTAGGAATATTTTTAAAAGCCAAAATTGTAATAACTCTTAATACAAGGGTGTTATTCATTTTTCTATTGATATGAAAGTTGTTAGAGAAATATACAGTTGTGTATTTCCCCCCTTTATTTATACAGAGATTTTATAATTATTTCAGATTTCTCTGATTTTTTTTCAGATTTTTGATTCTATAATATGAGACTACTCTTCCTTTCTCTTACGTTTTTTGGTTATGTTTTCTTTACTTTTTCTTTTCTTTTTAATTTGCACATACAGGGTTTACTCTCAGGCATCCTGATAAGTTGGGGTTTATATTGTTGCACTGACTGGGGAACTTGCTATCTAAGCTATTTTGAAACCTTATTAGTTTTGGAATTAGTAAAGATGTATGTACGTTACCTCCTTGGATTTTGACATCATTTCAATTACATAGAAGCTATTTATTTTCCAGTTTGCAACTGGGTGATAAGTGACTGGTAAATAACTGAGGTGACATCCTCAATCTTCAAGGCTTGTTTCTTTCTTTCTGATTATATATACGTACAGATGATACAAAGCAAGTTAAATATTAGTTCATTGGTGCCAATTTATTCTGTTAAATATTGCTAATTGCTTTCAGGTGACTTAATGATTTTTATTTATTAATAGTCATAATTTTTATTTAAAGATGGTTGACTATATTTAAACCATCTGACATTTAAGCTTATCCAGGCTAAAAGGTTTTTTCACATTTAGTTTCTTTTTTTTTCCCTTTTTTTTTGAGACAGGGTGGCACTCTATGGCCTGCCCAGACTGGAGGGCAGCAGTATGATCTCAGCTCACCACAACCTCCGCCTCCCAGGCTCAAGCAATTCTCCTGCCTCAGCTTCACAAGTAGCTGGGATTACGGGAGTGTGCCACTACTGCCCAGCTAATTTTTGTATTTTTAGTAGAGACAGGTTTTCACCACCTTGGCCAGGCTGGCCTTGAATTCCTTTCCTCAAATGATCCACCCACCTTGGCCTCCCAAAGTGCTGGGATTACAGGCCTGAGCCACCACACCCAGCCCAGTTTCTAATAGAAAATTTTCTCCATATTTTCCAGCTAGCCTTTCTAATAAGTCCAAATTATGATCAACTATTTCAGTGCAAAATTGAGCCTAATAGCCTAATGGCATTCCTTATTTAAAATAGCTCTTGTTCTTATTTCTTGATCCCTTGGTTAATTTAGCACTGCAAAAGTATTACCAAGTAGCTTCTCTAACAAGTGTTTATTTTGGGCCAAACACAGTGGTTCACACCTGTAATCCCAGCACTTTGGGAGGCCGAGGCCGGAGAATCACTTGAGCCCAGGAGTTCAAGATCAGCCTGGGCAACACAGTGAGACCTCATCTCTACTTTAAAAAAAAAAAAAACAAAAGCAAAGATTAACCTGGTGTGGTGGTGGTGGTGCACACTTGTAGTCCCAGCTACTCCGGAGGCTGAGGTGGGAGGATCGCTTGAGCCCAGGATTTGAGCTTGCAGTGAGGTATGATCATGCCACTGCACTCCAGCCTGGGTGACACAGCAAGACCCTGTCTCCAAAAAAAAGTGTTTATTTTATAATACGTGTGTGACACATATTTGTTTACAGTGTCCCTTAGCCGTACTAAAGAAAGAATATAATTAAGAAATTGAAGATGGCTGGGTGTGGTGGCTCATGCCTGTTATTCCAACACTTTGGGAGGCCAAGGTGGGTGGATCACCTTAGCACAGGAGTTCAAGACCAGCCTGTCCAACATGGAGAAACGCCGTCTCTACCAAAAACGCAAAAATTAGCCAGCTGTGGTGGTGCACGCCCATAATCCTAGCTACTTGGGAGGCTGAGGCATGAGAATCACTTGAATCCGGGAAGTGGAGGTTGCAGTGAGCTGAGATTGTGTCTCTACACACCATCCTGGGTGACAGTGTGAGACTGTCTCGAGGAAAAAAAAAAAGATATCATTTACCATTTTTTTTGTCTCTTTTTTGGTATAGCTGTGAATTTTAAGGTTAAATCTTTTATTTTGAAAGATTTCACCCATGTTAATTTCTGTAATTTTAAAGTCATTGCCCACAGCTAGAAATAAACTTATTTCTAATCAATGCACATCCAACCTGGCCTCTCTCTCTTTTTTTTTTTTTTGGGTATCTGTTTAATTTTTACTTCCAATTTTGCTACATTGGATATGGGAAAGTAATTTTTATTAAAATTCTAATTTTGTTTGAGCCTGATATTTTAAAGAACTAAATTACTTAGAAATAGCTGCCAAATAGTCTCTCTTTTTTACATGATGAGCAAATCCCAAACTATAGACGTAAGGAAAAAAAATGTTTATAGAACATATTTGTATATTAAGGTTTCTTTATTCACAGTCATTTTAAATTGCATTACCTTTGGAATAACTTCAATTCACATATTTTTCTTCTTGTTGAAGTTTAACATATTTATTAAATCTGGTTTACCAGAATGCACGCACTGCTGCATGGTTACATCATTCTTATCCTAGCAGATGTTTATGTTGAGAAGAGTGAATTTCAAATTGCTTACAAATATGAAGCCAAATCAAATTGCCTTAATATGTTCCCTTTGCATAATGGTATTTTCAGAGACCAGTCTAGTTGGGAATATCTTAAGGCCCTAGAAAACTACCTCCAAAATTTTAATTGGCCTTTTAGTTAGGTTATATTACATATGTATCAAACATACCTTGTTTTAAAAGTTTACTTTAAATAAATGCACAAGTCCAGGAACAGTGGCTCAAGCCTATAATCCCAGCACTTTGGGAGACCAAGACAGGTGGATCACCTGAGTCAGGAGTTAGAGACCAGCCTGACCAACATGGTAAAACCTCGTCTCTACTAAAAATACAAAAAAATTAACCTGGCGTGGTGGCAGGTGCATGTAACCCCAGCTACTCTGGAGACTGAGACAGGAGAATTGCTTGAACCCAGGAGGCAGAGGTTGCAGTGAGCTGAGGTTACGCCATTGCACTCCAGCCTAGGCAACAAGAGCAAAACTCCGTCTCAAAACAATAAAAATAAATAAATAAATAAATGCACAACATGTGAGTTTTTGTTGTTTGAGAAATAATCCTTAAATATGCTGATTTAATCCAGGACAGTACTGGCATGAAATTGTGGAAGAAACGCTGGTTTGTGCTTTCTGACCTTTGCCTCTTTTATTATAGAGGTAAGTTTACCCTACTGTCTTAGTGTATTATTTTGTAATTGATATGTAATATAAGAATCAGATACTTTTCTAAAAAAAAGTATTGTAATTCTACGTGCTATTTTATTATCAACAAATAATATCAAACAGATTTTTTCTTCTTTGACATATCATTCTGAGTTTTGAGGTTATGATAGAATAAATATGGTGCTTCAGACCATGTTTAGTCAGCTTCCCGAATCTTTGCTCTATAATGCTACACTTGAATTCAGTGTTTAATAGATACAATCCTTAGTTTGAGGAGGTTCTTTTCACATGTCAGTTTTGTCAGATCTAGCTTATGGGTCCATCAGGCACCCAATTCTGCTCTCCAGCAAATGATATTAGAATATTAGGGACTACTATTATGTAACAGCAAGTGAAAAAAATAAAATACAAAGAAATACTTTCATTTTGAACTTTTCTTTAATAAACACTGATACCCTTTCTCTGGTTAGTAAATTATTAGTTCAGTTTTAAGTAAAAGTCCAGAGTTCTTTCATATGCCACATGGATCTCTTAGATACAACAAGATAATACAAAGCTTTTTACTGCCAATTAAAGGCATACCTAGGTGGTGCTCTCCAGAGAAATCTGCCTCAGCTACAGTATAAAATCATGAATCTGGATAATCTCTCCTTCTTCTCTACTTTAAACTTTGGTTGTAAACCATCATGAAAGAATTAGATTGTCAACCCATAATTAATAATTTATGACTTTTCTTGAGAAGTATAACTTAAAAGATATAACAGAGTTTTAGAACTGATTTTACGTTTTTTGACTACACAAAAGACCTGTGGCAAAATTTATAGTTGTGTATTGAGGCATTATAATACATATTAACCTTCAAAATTTAGAATTACTAAATCGTTTCCATCTGAAAACTGTAGTTGAGAATTACTGCTGAGTCAGAATTAACCAACCCTATAAAATTGCATTTTGTCCTAGAGATGTTCCTTAGGCTGCAATTGTGGTATCATCTTTAGTTAAATGCTAAGCTTACTCTACAATTTTCCTTAGGGGTTTTCCCATTCTTTCAGAAAGTTAGGAGTTGTATTTCAGGCATTATCCTTAAGCTTGTAATTTCTCTTTTTGTCTCTTTTTCAGTATATTTATGGACTACTTATAACAAGAAATGTTTACTATTTCTAATATTTTAAATTTCTAATATAAGAATTTGTTGGGGTTTTTTTTTGTTTTGTTTTGTTTTGTTTTGTTTTTGAGACAGATTCTTGCTCTGTTGCCTGGGCTCAAGTACAGTGGTGCAATCTCGGCTCACTGCAACCTCTGCCTCCCAAGTTCAAGTGATTATTGTGCCTCAGCCTCCTAAGTAGCTGGGATTACAGGCATGCGCCACCACATTCGGCTAATTTTTTGTGTGTATTTTTAGTAGAGACGGGGTTTCACCATGTTGTCCAGGCTGGTCTCAGACTCCTGACCTTAAATGATCCACCCGCCTTGGCCTCCCAAAGTGCTGGGCTTACAGGCGTGAGCCACCATGCCCAGCCAAGAATTTGTTGATGTTAATTTGCAAAAAAAAAAAAAAAAAAAAAAAACCCACTGAATTCCGTGTAATTTGCTATTGTTGTTGCTCAGGGAAAGGTGGGACTCATCACTTTTACTATAATAGGAAAGCTTTTGATCATATTTGAAAACTGTAAAAGTGAATCAGAAGCCATGCTGATGGATGTAAAGATAAGAACAGTAGACACTGGGGAGCACAAGAGAGGGGAGGGCTGAACACATAGTACCAATTCGGTACTGTGCTGTCTGGGAGACTGATTCATTTGTACTCCAGACCTCAGCATCATGCAATTTACCTTTGTAACAAATCCACATGTGTACCCCTGAACCTACAATAGAAGTTGGAAAAAAGAAAAGCCATGCTGAGTCTGAGATTCCTTATTAACTACCTGTATTTTATATGCAATGTATTTATTAATTTTAGTAGTTTCCCAGACAGGAGGAATATTAAAAAGAAGAAACTGTAGAAACAAGAGAAATATCATTTAACTCATTTCAGATGACTGCTGTGCAGACTGTTGGAAAGAAGTATATGATATTATGTATTTTTACTATTTCGTCAGTAAGAAATGTTAGGTTTTAAATTAAAATAATCAGATTTTAGTGAGATGATCATAATAGCCTGAATATATTTTTTTGCATATTTACAATTTGTTGAGTACTGTGCTAAGCAAGTTATATAGATGATCTATTTCATCTAACCCTCACAGCTACCTGATAATGTGGGGAATCTTATGTTCGTTGCACACAAGGGGGAACTGATATACAAAGTGCTTACCCCAGGTCTCACAACTTGCAAGTGGCACAGGCAGGATTTGAACTCAGGCACTCTGACTCCAGAGCTGACACTGTTGATTTCTATTCTCTTGATCACAAGTTTTCGCCCCCACTCAGATATCCTCTCTTCTCTCAAATGCTGAGGGCAGTGGCCCCATTCATTTCTTCTCCATTTCTCAAAGCATCTAGTCTACTGACCAGAATTTTTTGGAGATCAGTCCATGTTTTACAGATATGGAAATTAAGACAGAGAAAAATAACTGATTTGCTATTTTTTTTTAACAATAGGTTAGCAACCAATACCAGATGAAAGCCCAAGTTCCCACTGTTCTTTGCCACATATTAGGCATATAGTGAGCCCATTGTTATAAAGAGAGCACTTTGACTGCTCTATTCTGTAGTCAGTGTATTGACTAAACTTACCATAGAACTTAATTCATTCAACAGATATTAAATATTTATTGAGCAGGACCTGCTTCATTCCAGGTGCTGCCAAAACAACGTAAGAGAAAGCTCTCATAAATCTTACATTCCAGAGAGATCAGGGAGACAGTAAATAAGCTCATATGATTAAGCAAGACCATAAGTGCTTTTTAGGAAAGCAAGGTTATAATATGAAAGGTGAGCATAAGGGAAAGATCTCTATGGATCCGTACTCTGGGTAGGTCTTTTAGATAGGAAGATCTAAATGACAAAGGGGAGCCAGAGGTGTGGAGTGTTCCGGGCGGGCGAAGAGAGAGAATAGTGCAAAGGCTGTAAGGTAAGAAAGTGCTTGAATTGTGGAAAGAACAGGGAGAAACCTGTCTGCTGAGCCGGAGGCAGCTAGCAATAGGAAAGGATAGAGAAATAGAGATCACACCACGTAGGAGTCTATTGGAGTTTGGATTCTACTACAAATGTCATAAGGAAACAATTGAATGTTTTTAACATAAGAATGATGCACTTTGGTTTACATTTTTAAAAGCTCACTCAAGCTACTATTGAAGGAAGGATTGTAAAGTTGAAGGATATGAGCAGAGAGACTAGCTAGGAGTTATTACATAGAGGTGATAATGACTTAGACAAAGGTGGCAGCTAGCAGTGAGCTTTTCTGATACAACAGATGCCTTATTAGGTAAAGATGCAAAAATGAATACAATAAACCCCTATCGTTATGGAACTCACAGATTAGCTGAAGGAGTCTGGGAAGAATGACATAGTAGGTTCTCAGTTATGTTGAATGAGTGTTGGCCAGGTCTGTACAAGAAAGCAATCAGGAAAGAAGAGTGATCTGGGCAAAGGACTTAAATCACGTGCAAAGCATGAATGAGAATGCTTGGCATATTTGTAAAACTATGTATAGAACTTACATTGCTAGAAGACCCACCAGGGGTTAGGTTTAAAAGATGGATCGAGCTAGGTGTAGTGGTACCTGCCTGTAGTCCCGGCTACTCAGGAGGATGAGTAAAGAGTATCACTGGAGCCCAAAAGTTCAAGACCAACCTGGGCAGCATAGATTTCATCTCTTAAGAAAAAAAATGAAAAGGTAGATTAAGGCACAGAGGGCATTTGTTTGCCATTCTAATGAACTCTATGTTGAGTGCAAGAATAATAGTAGGATCAGGAGTACATTTTAGGAAAATCACTCTAGCACTGTAATTAGAAGCCAAAAGACCAGTTAACAGAGTGTTGGAGTATTCCAGGTTATACATGATAATTAGTGATATTTACCCAGTTGTAATTGCATGTATTTTTTTGTCTTATTCCCAAATATCTTTAAAACTAAGTAGAAATGGGGAATCTAAAATGTCACTTGTATCCAGTAAAATGTTGAGATTCTCCTGGCTCCCGTCCCAGGTTGTGTTCCCTAGGAAGCAAACTCCATGATGGAGATTAATATGTAGAAAGCTTTTTGGAGAGTGTTGTTCTTGGAACCATCAGCTGTGGCAAAGTGAAGGAAGGAAATGGCAGAGACAAAAGAAAATGGGCTGCCATGCAATCTCAGAAAGGCCTTGGCTGACCCTGTGGAGAGTTCTTTCATTCTACAGACATTACTCAGTACTTACTCTTTGTCAGTCTATGAGGCTCTCTAGGTGATGGAAACTAGGACAGTGCTTCAGTCAGGATTGATATAGAACTAAACAGAAGAAGGTCATGATTAGAAGCAGTTTAAGAAGCTGAAGAACTCAGGGTAGTCATTTGACAGGCGAAGATTTTTTTATATGCACTGTCTTTAATTTTATATAATAATGGCAATATTTATTTAATGCTTCACCCTCTGTGCTGAGTTTTTTATATGTGTTAACTCATTTAACCCTCAACAATCTTTTGAGGTAAGTCCTATTGTCCTCAGTTTTATAGATCTTAAAACAGATACTAAGCATCAATAACTTGGCTAGGATTTCACAGCTAGTTAGTGCTGGGCAGCAGGAAAACTGCCTCAGGTAATCTAGGGAAATCACCCTGTGCTTTAGTGCCTCTGTCTATTCTGAAGCAATTTTAGGAAAGATTATTTTATTATGGAACATAGAAGGATGTATTATTTGGTTAAAATGATTTTTTAATAAAGATGACTTCATGTACTATTTCTGACTATACCCTTTATATAAACATAAAACATAAAATTGGATTCAAAATTAGGGTTTGACTTATTCTTTTAAATTGTCACATTCTCTGTAATTCATGACTGCTTTCCAACTCTTTTTAACCTTTTGGATTAAATCTATACTTTCGTTCATTCTTTTACACATTAGTGATTTGTACCTGAATGAGCACAGAATAGTAAAAACAAAATTTTGTTCCATTGCTATGAGAAAAGCTACTGAAAAAAGTCTCCATTTAATATAACTTTTTCCCTTTTGGATGTTTCACCAGATACTCTGGAAATGAGGACGAAATAAATAAAATCCCTTGTTAAGTTTTTGATAATTAGGGAAAAAAAAAAAAAAAGGCACACACAGCAAGCATAATAAAAAGATTTCCCATTTATGGTTTCTCCTTGGTGAGTTTATTAGCCTGATGACACAGCTTTATTAACTTGTCTTATAGGTCTATAACAGTGAAGTACATATTTCAAGTTTCATAAACATCTCTTCCCCCAAGCAGCAAGTTAATCATGTGAATCTATACTGTGTCAAGATTAATGTTTATCATTTTCCTAGGTATATTTTATGTGCTTGCCTTGTAGGCCTGTAATTTAGTCATACTATTGTGTATCAGAATGATAGTAAAAGCAAACCTTCAAAGTTAAATGTTTTAAAAAGCATATAATTTTTATAGGATAGTTTAAATATGTATTCACATGTGTCTTTGTTTATTCAACCAAATTTTTTGAGCATCTACTACTGTCATTCCAAGTGTCTTTATAGAACTTACATTCTAGCATGGAGAAAAAGATAATAAGGAAATAAATAGCTGAAACATATAGTATGCCGGAGGTATTGAGAGTCAGAAATGTTAACATTCCCAAAGGAGAACAGAGAAAACGTTAAATAAATAGCATTTTAACATCAGTAGTCAAGGAATACAGTAGTCAAGGAAGGCCTCATTGATGAGACCTTTGAGCAAAGCCTGAAGGGTGTAACCAAGAAAGCCATGTGTCTGGGGTTAGAATGGTTGAGCATTTAAATCCTATCAGAGATGTGAGTGGATTAATGCCATTACTTACATGCCAGTATATTTTCAGTGAATGACACGTAAAGGGGATTTGTAGAATGCAGTATATTTACCAAATTATAAATTCTTGTGCTATTTGGTATTTCATTTAAAACCTTATAAAGTCCTGCCTAAACATGAATATAGTTCATTTATATACAAGAACCTTTCGATTTGGCAAAAATAGATCTTAAAAAACTTTGCTTCATGAGAACATTTAAAATTCTAATCAGATGTTAAATCTCCTAGATGAGAAAGAAGAGGGTATCCTGGGAAGCATACTGTTACCTAGTTTTCAAATAGCTTTGCTTACCTCTGAAGATCACATTAATCGCAAATATGCTTTTAAGGTAAGGAAATAATACAGTTTTTAATTCTGTGTTCGAAACTTGCGTTGGTTAAAAATGGATATTGAGCCATAGATTATTACAAAAAGCTATCTTAGTTATAGTGATTTTTGTATTTAAAATATATTAATTAATTGTCTTATGGTTGTATAGAAGAATGTCCCTCTAATTAGGAAGCATGTGCTGAAATATTTAGGGATCAAGTGTCTTCATGTCTGTGCTTTCAAATGGTTTTAGATAAAATGAACATGTCAGAATGCTAATAATTGATTAATATAATTATGGATGTCCTGGTGATTATTATGCATTCTTTCAAGGTTACTCTATGTTTGAATTTTTTAATAATAAATTTGGGGTCTGGGCACAGTGGCTGACACCTGTAATTCCAACACTTTCGGAGACCGAAGTGGGAGGATCACTTGAGTCCAGGAGTTGAGCCTGGGGAACATAGTGAGACCCTGTCTCTAAAACAAAACAAACAAAAAAACCATACTAGCCGGGTGTCGTGGCTAGTCCCAGCTACTTAGGAGGCCGAGGTGACAGGACCACTTGGGCCTGGGAGGCCAAGGCTGTAGTGAGACATGATCATGCCACTGCAGTCCAGCCTGGGCAACACAGTAAGACGCTGTCTCAAAAAAAAATTATTAATAGGATAGGCACAGTGGCTCATGCCTGTTAATCCTAGCACTTTAGGAGGCCGAGTCAGACAGAGAGCTTGAACCCAGGAGTTCAAGACCAGGCTGGCCAACATGGTAAAACCCCGTCTCTACTAAAATTACAAAAATTAGCCAGGTGTGGTGGCGTGTGCCTGTAGTCCCAGCTACACAAAAGGCTGAGGTGGGAGGATCACTTGAGTCCGGGAGGCAGAGGTTGCAGTGAACCAAGATTTGCATCACTATAGTTCAGCCTGGGTGACAGTGTGAGACCCTGTATTAATAATAATTATTATTAATAATAAATTTGGAGGAAGAGTACTATAAGAGACAACAATTTTTTTTTAGTAAATGTACATATATGTACATTTATTGAAAAACTTAGAGAATAATGGCAAAGATGTTCAAGATGTTCTTGGGTCTAAGTACATCGTGATCATCAGGTACTTTACAGGGACCACTGAAGTTGAGATCTGAAATCTGCTGTTATTAAATCCAAGCAGACCTGAGATCCCCCTGATTAACAGTACCCACCAATCTTTGTGATATTACTGGTTTGTGGATCACTCTCAAGTAAGAGGTCTTCAGTGCTATTTTTGGAGATTTTTGTTTTCAAAAATCATTTTGCATTCTTTGCTTCATGATTATGGCTAAAATAAATTTCAGAAGTCACCTAGTTTTTCAGTCTGTTTTAGAGTAAGAACTATAAGGTTCTTGCAGAAATCTCATTTTAAGAGAAAAGAGGGGGGAACTGCTGCTAGTTAACAATGAAAATGTTTATACCATTATAGAATTGATTCAGTTTTAAATTCGCATCACTTTTAAAGAATACTGAGGCTGATTTACAACTTTTGCTAATTAATATGTTACATTAGCAGGCTGGGAGCAGTGGCTCATGCCTGTAATCCCAGCACTTTGGGAGGCCAAGGCAGGTCAGGATCAACTGAGGTCAGGAGTTTGAGACCAGCCTGTCCAACATGGTGAAACCTCGTCTCTACTAAAAATACAACAATTAACCAGACATTGTGGTGCTTGCCTATAGTCCTAGCTACTGGGGAGGCTGAGGTGGGAGAATCGCTTGAACCTGGGAGGCGGAGGTTGCAGTGAGCCGAGATCGTACCACTGCACTCCAGCCTGGGCGACAGAGC